AATAAATGGACAGGGAGGGGGGGATAAATGGACAGGCAGGGTGGGGGAATAAATGGACAGGCAGGGTGGGGGGAATAAATTGACAAGGTGGGGGGGAGAAATTGACAGGGAGGGGAATTGACGGGGTTAGGAGGGGGAATGAGAGTGGGGAGGGGAGAAGAGAGTTACAACGGGGGAGACGAGAGTGACAAGGGAGGGGGAGAAGAGAGGGACACGCAGGGGAGAAGAGAGTGACAAGGGAGGGGGAAGAAGAGAGTGACAAGGGAGGGGAGAAGAGAGGGACAAGAGGGGGGAGAAGAGAGGGACAAGGGGGGGAGAAGAGAGAGACAAGGGGGGGAGAGAAGAGAGTGACGAGGGAGGGAGAGGGGGAGAAGAGAGTGACAAGGGAGGGGGAGAGATTGACATCCATCACACACACACAATGCACCCCTTGCACACAGAAAAACACACAATGCAATACACACACAGACACACACACACACACACACACACACACAAGCAATTCAACCCTTACACACAATGCATCCCTTACACACACAGAAACACACAATGCATTCCTTACACACATTCAATGCACCCCTTACACACACTCAATGCACCCCTTACAGACGCACACACTGCATCCCGTACATACATAGAAACACACATTGCAGCCCTTACACATACAAACACAGATTCACACAATGCATTCCTTACATATCATGACATCCCCTACTCCTGTGAACAAACTAATTGGTGGAACATGAAGGTGGACCCTGGGGCCCAGACCTTGAGCTGTGTAAAGGGCCCCCAAAAAATGGAGCTGCTTCCCGTTCTCCCAGAACACAAACAGCCTCCAGAGAGCCTGTTCTACACCAGACGAGTGGAGCCAGACTGCAGCTAGAGCCCATCACCATCCTCATCTGATTGTAAGTAGGCAAACTAGTATATTATTCGTGGCACTAATCTCTAATTTACCTCACATTAAAGGGACACTTTAGTCCCCAGAACCACTGCAGCTTAATTTAGTGGTTCTGGTGTCTATAGCCTGTCCCTGCAGGCCTTTTAATGTAAACACGGCGGCACTGCAGCACTTGCGTTAGTTAACATGGGGCATTGTGATGTCATATGGGGGGGGGGGTGGCAAACTTTACTTTTGCCTAGGGCGGCAAAAATCCTTGCACCGGCCCTGCCTGTCTGCCATGCTCCCTCGCGGTTCCTGTGCTGGGAATTGTGGGAACCGCGAGGGAGCATGGTAGATAGGCTCCTCCTCCTTCAGCCATCAGCAGCCAGTGACTGGAGTGCCGCCGGATCGGCGAAGCTGCCACCCGGCCTGGCGGCTCCAGTCTGGAACGCGGCCGACCCCCTCTCAGTGTGTCACCTATGTGGCAGCGCAGCCCCCAGGTGCCGCGGCCCACCAGGAAATTTCCCGGTATCCCGGTGGGCCAGTCCGGCCCTGACTGCATGTGACTATGTATGTGTGACTGTCTGCCTGTGACTGTTTGATGTTGCCTGTAACCGTGTGTGTGACTATCTGTCTGTGACTGTGTGCATGTGACTGTCTGCTGCTGTTGTGTGTGTCAATGTATATGTGACTGTCTGCCTGTAACTGTGTGCATGACTGTCTGTGACTGTATGTGTGACTGTCTGCATGTGACTGTGTGCGTGTGACTGTCTGCCTGTAACTGTGTGTGACTGTATGCCTGTTAATGTGTGTGTGGGGCTGCAGGGATTTTGTAGAAGGGGGCAGGGGTTTTGTATTGTGACAAGAGTCTTTATAAGGGGGGATTTGTGGAAGGGGGTCACAGGGGTTTTGTAGACGGGGCAGTACAGGATTTGTAGAAGGGGCAGGACGGGGGTTTTGTAGGAGGGGGCGGGGCAGGACAAGGGTTTTGTAGGAGGTGCTGACAGCAGTTTTGCAAAGTTTACAAATTGTAAAAAAAAAAAAAGGAAACATTTACATTTTTTTACAGGTTTTTTTTTGGGGGGGAGGGGGGGAACACGAGGGAGTGCCAAGCACAGGATCCGCCCCGGGTGCCAAATGCTCTAGGTACGCCTCTGCCTATACATACACAGAAACACACAATGCATCCCTACACACACACACACAAACACACCGTGCTTCCCTTACACACAGAGAAACACACAATGCATCCATTACACACACACAATGCATCCCTTGCACACATACACAGAAACACACAATGCATCCCTTACACATGCACACACAAACACACACTGCTTCTCTTGCACACACTCAATTCATCCCTTAGAGACAATCAACGCACCCCTTACAGACATACACTGCATCCCTTACATACACATAAACACACCTTGTGTCAGGTTCCTGTCCTGACTAGCAAGACCTTTTCCGTTTAATACCGTTCCTTTAAATTCCAGTACCTGTTTCTCGCCTCTAGTGGCCTCTCTAGCCACTAGTCACCTCCAACTCTCACCTGTAGAACAAGAAATCAAGTTCTGCTATACACCCGACGAAGCAAGTGGCCTTGACATTGAAGTTTGATGATTACCTGAAAATACTTCATATCCTGGCTCCTGAGATAACCTGTGGGATTTCCTTATTGGCTACTTATTCTGCAATACTCACCAACCTACTCCAAACTTACCTGTACAACTCTTCTTCCTAACATGTCTACAAACCTGCAGCAAACCAACCTAAAATCCCTATCTTCCTACAGAACACCCAACTTGCTTAAATCCACACTGGACTTTCATTTACCTTGTGGATATCTGTTTATTACTTCCTCGGATTTACTTATATTCCAATCTGCTTTGCATCCATCACAAAGGACCTACTTCTACTATGTAACCTCCTTCCCAGAGAGACTGAACAACTGCAACCCTATTTAAGTATTCATATTATTTCTGTCTAGTTCTATTTCATTTTTCTTACCCTGTTCCGGGGCATATTGCCTAAATCCTGTTTTACTATTTCTCCTGTGTATAGAATCTATAATCTCTCTTATAGGTTTATCTTCTGTTATTCTTCCTATATCTACAATTATAGGATATCCTGTATTAAGTAGTATGTCTAAGATATCAAATAAAGACCATGCAATTAACCCCAGTGTAAGTCGCATCCCTGACCTGCACAAAATCATGACACCTTGCATCCGTTACAGATACAAACACAGATTCACACAATACATCCATTACACACACACACTGCTTTCTATCCTTTACACAAAAACACACTACATCCACTACACACACACACACACACACTGCATCGCCAACACAAACTGGTATCCCTATACTCCACATTCCATAAGCACACACATTAGATCCTCTATGGGTGGGCCATAAATTATGGGCATACTCACTGTCAAGCCATGGGGGCCCAGACCTTGAACTGTGTAAAGGGCCCTAAAAAATGAAGCTGCTTCCTGTCCCCTGACCACAGTTACAAACAGCCTCCAGAGAGCCTGTTCTACACCAGACCAGTGGAGCCAGACTGCAGCCAGAGCCCATCATCATCCTCATTTGGTTGTAAGTAGGCAATCTAGTATATTATGAGTGACTCTAATTTTATAACATGACAGAAGGCTTACTATTTGGCATTAACTTTCTTTACTAACTCCATAGCAGCAAAGAAAAAACTGTTAAAGAAAGAACCAATCAGAGTAAGTCAGGGTGTATATAAGTCCAAGCGTAGCCAATCATTTCCTCTTTCTTTGCTGCTCCATCACAAGTCAGGTCAGAGTACCGATTTCGTAATTGTATTTTGTTATGCAGGATCTTTTGTATAGATTTACTGTATATTACTATCTTTGGTATCTAACATCTGTTATATTGGGGGTAGCAGGGGAGCTTCTAGAGGGGCTATCCCTTCTCCCCTCAGTGGGGCTGATCTTACATCTCATGTGGGTGTAAGGTTCAAGGAATGAGCTTCCCAGTATTATGATTAGTCCTATTTAAGTGTCAACACGTATTGTGCTTAAGTTATCTGCTGTATCTTTAGTACCCACCATTTGCTTTGTATTTGCAGAGACCCACTGAGGCTACGGCGTTCCGTTTCTGACCCCCTCTCCCCCACCCACCTCCCTGTATCCTCGAGTGGCTACGTTCGCCACCTTTCTCGTCTCCTTCCCGCTCTGTTCGCATCATCAGCAATGCGAACAGACCGGGTTACATATCGACTTTGTGCATTTCGACGAAAGGACACAGCCCTCCTGTTCGCGCTGGTAATTGGAAAAAGGCGCGAACAGAGCAGGCAGTCACGGTTCGTGTCTCTCTGCGAACGTTATCATACTGTTGCCAGGAGATTTGTACGAACGGACGGTTATCACACTTACCAGGGAACCAGTCCGTTCGTGGGTTTCCTCCACCAGGAGCGTTCGGCAGTTTAGTCTATAAGCGAACGTCCGTTCGTGGATTTTCTGCCGAACGCTTCAGCTATCACCATTTTTTTGGGGGGGGCTTTTTCTGACGCCCCAGGGTCTCTCGCGAGACCCGCGGCAGCCATTTTGTTGGCGAAGTTTTGGGAGGAACACAACACACAGCAGGACAAGGTTCTTGTTTGAGTGAGAAATTTAATCAGAATTGCGGAGGTGAAGTCTACTTGGGACCTACACAGGTTGGTGACATTACCCCTGGGGAGTATGACTGCCAGTAAGGTTTAGCCCAGTAATCTGGCAAGGGGTGAGCCCCCATTTGGGATTTGTCCCTGAGTGCTGCATAGTGGAAGCTGTTAAAGCAGTTCCGATATCCTGGGTGAGCCCCAGTGCTAAAGAGTCCGATTTCACGCCACTGAACAACAACAGTTATACGGCTGATGGCCTGTCTGAGTCCCTCCCACACGGTCCCTCACCTCTGACTCCTATACCTGTGCCTGTTAGTGCCCGTACGATGGAAGACACAATAAATACTAGTGATCTTCAGGCCATGATCAACGCAGCGGTGGCTGCGTCCTTAGAAAAGACGCTAGCGAAGGCAATACCTACAGCCACTGAATCTACCACTTCGGCTAGCAAGCAACGCCAGAACAAAGATGACTCAGATGAGTTGGATGACTCCTCTAAAGAGAAAAAACGCCTGGCAAAATGCCACTGGAAGGGCGAGGAGTCCAAAAAGGCCGCCTTCAAAGGCAAAATGCCACTAAAGCGCAGTAAGCTCGCTATGACTATGACTCCCAAGTACACTAGGGAGGTGTCCTCGGATGAGGAAAAAGATATGCCCCACTCCCTCTCCATCTTGGATGAGTGGCAGACAGAGGCCTCCGACTCTGACGAAGGTGGTTGGGGCTCCAACGCCTACGTCACGGAGACATTCCTGGGTGAGCCCCAGAATAAAGGAGATGTGGAACTCTCCACCACAACCACACAGGAACAAGAGATATTCCTAGACACCACGGGTCAGAGAATGTTTGACCCCAGGAACATTCGCCACCCCCGCTTTGGGGAATGGGCTCCACCTGATCACCTCCTCCGGTTTATGCATTTTTGCATATGTAAACCCCTGGAAAAACAATACGCAAGAGGATGCGGGCGGAGTGTCCCAGACCGACTTTGCCAGATAAAGTGGCGTTTACACCGGAGTTCGATCAGCTCATGCTGACGTTCATGGAGCAAGGAGGCCACAACCCGCATAGGGGAATCGAAAAGAGTTTTAAGGGGGCGCAAGACAAGCTCCTGGACACGATGGGGCCGTTGGCCCGAGTAATGTACCTGGCAGATGATGCCTACGCCAGAGCGGACTCATTTACAGCGGACATGGTGCGCGAGTGGGCACATGATATCCAAGAATGGGCCCAGAGGGGCTTCTGTTTTCTCAAAAATACGAATGCGGCCCTCTCAACAGAGCAGCGCCGGGCAGCACTTTTCCGCATAGACCCCAAACTGGCTGATCTAGGGGTAAAGGAACTGGGCCCACAGGCACAGGGCAAACTCTTCGGTGAAACCTTTATGAAAGAGCTGAATAAACATGTCAACGTATTTACCTCACTGAATAGAGCCCGCACATCCATGCGCAAGGTCTTCCGAGGCACCCCTGCAAGGGGTGTTTTTTCCAGGGCTAGTCGGCAACGGGCCGTGCCGCCAGCCATTTCTGGCCATCAGGCCCTCGCATGGGTTATTCACAACAATTCTACCCGCAACAAAATTATCAGGGCACCGGAGCTAAACAACACTACTCCTCCTATCAAAGGGGCACAGACAGAGGACGGGGTGGTCGTGGACGCAGGTAAGAGACCAATTTCTCGATGCCGCAACTAACCATGATTGCGGGCCGTGTTTCTCTTTTTTCCCAGAACTGGGCCCAATTGTCCACGGACGCTTGGGTATTGCAGACGGTCAACGGATACCGAATCGAAGTACGAACACCCCCAATACAGAGATTTCCCCCTCGTCCTTTACGCCTTTCTGCTCCGGACGCTCACCTCATAGATGTGGAGCTCCGCGAACTACACAAGAATGGCGCTATACAACCCGTGCACAAACGAGGAGGCTTCTTCAGCAATATGTTCCTCGTCCGCAAGAAAACCGGGGATTTCAGACCGGTGATCAATTTAAGAGACCTGAATGCTCATGTGACCTACCGTCACTTCAAAATGGAGGGCATACACTTACTGAGGGACCTCCTTCAAGAAAAGGATTGGTTTACGCGTCTAGACCTCAAAGATGCATATTTATCGATCCCAATTCACGAGGACAGCCGCCCTTTCCTCCGGTTCCTCTGGAATGGCTCCCCGTGGCAATTCACGTGCCTCCCTTTCGGACTGAGTTCGGCACCATGGTGCTTCACAAAAATGTTGAAACCAGTGGTCACACACCTCAGGACCCACGGGATCAGATGCATCATTTATCTGGACGACATTCTCTTATTCTGCAGAACGAGGGAATTGGCCATACAACATACCGAATATACGGTACAATTATTAGAATCCTTGGGCTTCATCGTCAACAGAGCCAACTCCTCAATGAACCCCATACAGAAAATCCAATTCCTGGGCTTCGAGATAGACTCCAGGTCTTGCACTCTCCACCTCCTGTCTGCCAAAGTGACGGCCATCAAGAGAGAGATCCGCAGAGTACTCAAATTAGACTCCATTCCGCTCCATCAACTGGCACGGATCGTTGGCCTACTGTCCTCATCGATACAAGCCATATTTCCGGGGCCCCTTCACTATCGTGCTATGCAGCAGCTGAAAGCCAGCTTCCTGCAACGGAACCCCACGTACAATCAACCAGTTCCGCTGACGGAAGAAGTATACCAAGAACTCGAATGGTGGCTCAATGGTATGCAAGCGTGGAATGGTCGGGCCATCTTCGGCAACCAACCGGACTTCGTCCTGGAATCGGACGCGAGTCGCCTGGGGTGGGGCGCCACGGATGGAGAAGCATCCACAGGAGGAACGTGGACACCACAAGAACTATCGATGCACATCAACTGCCTAGAACTATTGGTGTCATATGTCAACCCACACGGTCCAGTTTCGGTCACCACATTGGCCAGATGGATCAAATGGCTTTTCTCCCTAGCCGAAATAGACTCTTCCTTTGGTGCACACTCCGTTTGAGGGGCAGCAGCATCATCAGCTTTCCTAGCAGGCGCATCTCTGTCAGATATTCTACAAACGGCAGATTGGTCCCGAGAATCGACATTTCGGACTTTCTACTTCCGTCCATCGTCCAATGCCGCATTCGCTCTTCTACCTAAGCGTTAAAATTGCAAAATAGGAAGCCTCCTGTCATGTTATAAAATTGAAGACTATGCTAGCGCAGTGTACTAATAATCTTAATTTTAATAATGACAGGAGGCGAGTATTTTCCCTCCCCTTATTCTTGATGTTCCCACCCAATGGAGGTAAGTTAAGACTAAGGGGTATAGTTGACTCCAATTTTTAACTGTATGCACTAAAATGATTTGGTATGGGGAATATCGTTGCCTATTAGAGGGGGATTGCTATAGAACATACATCTTATGGCTAATCGAGTGTAATCATTGGAAAATGAAGTATATACTCATAGACACTTGCTTCATACGGTCTGTCCCGTATCACTGATACAAGTCTCTCTTTCTTTTCATTTTAACAAGTCTCTAAGATAACGGAGAAAACTGAATTCCTACTGAGTATCACTGATACTAGTATCTCTTTCTTTTCAGTTTAACAAGTCTCTAAGATAACGGAGAAAACTGAATTCCTACTGAGTTTCCATGTTGGATTAAATTGGATCAAATGCATCGGACACATTGTCATAACATGAACTTGTGATGTCGCAGTAGTCAAGAGGAAATGATTGGCTACGCTTGGACTTATATACACCCTGACTTACTCTGATTGGTTCTTTCTTTAACAGTGTTTTCTTTGCTGCTATGGAGTTAGTAAAGAAAGTTAATGAAAAATACTCTCCTCCTGTCATTATTAAAATTAAGATTATTAGTGCACTGCGCTAGCATAATCTTCAATTTACCTCACATTAAAGGGACACTATTATCCCCAGAACCACTGCAGCTTAATGTTTAATTTTTCTGTTGCCAAGGGCGGCAAAAATACTTGCTCCGGCCCTGTATAAAAGGCCACACCTGGCTGAACAAATGGCCTTGACATTGAATGAAGTTGATCATAAACTTGCTTTATTCTGAATAACATTGAACCCAACCTGATTTATGGGATCAACCTGCTTCCATAGGCGTGCGCAGTGTGTGAATGTGTGGTGAGGAGGGTAGGGAGGCTTTTTTAAAATCAAAATAAATATGGCGAAAGTGACCTCGCCACTGATTTTTGGAGGGGTCTGTTTGTTAGCCTACTACCCTGTGATTTAGTTTAAATCACTGTTCGTGCCTTTTTGGATTTTTATGGCCACAGTTCAAACTTTCGGAGAGGCACTTCAAACTCCCGAACACTCGACCACGTGGTGGCGGCCATCTTGTTCACATGGACCAAAACCGCGAATAAACTTAAGGGGGGCTTAGTTGCGAATGTCCTGGAACTATTTTCGGCATGAAAACCTTGCGGTTCCCGTTCGGTCATCCAGAGGCACTTAGCTGTGACTCTGTGGAACTGTTTTGGGTGTGAAAACCTGCCTGGGCAAAACTATGACTTTCATAAAATTTCTGAACCTCTGATCCGGGTGATTTTATGTTGTCCACTCAGATCAGGGCTATCAGGGGATGTAACATTTATAGGGATATGTTGTGTTCTGGGGTACTTATTAGACTTTGTAAAAATGTGTGGGTTTTTTTCTGCCTGGAGATAATTGGGTTAATACAGTATCTGATCCAATTATCTCACAGGCAGAGGGAAGGGATTGCATGCTTGTTATGGGAGTGTTGTACATTTAATTACTGTTTTTATTGGTTTATTAACTTGTGTCCCTGTGCCCAACAAGTTCCACGTGGGTGTCACCCTTGTTGGGAAACTTGCATAAAAGGTCAGTGTGGCTCCATTAAAATTGAGTTCCTGTTTTACCCTCAACATAGAGTCTCATCTCGTGAGTGTGGGGAGGGGAGGCGGAGGCTGTATCAACCCTGGGGATTTCTATATCACTATGCTCCCCTGGGATTATAATCACTAGCTCTTTTAAGAGCTGTTCCTGCTACGCCGTCTGGAGTAGGAGAGGTTCACCCACTGGAAGCTGGATCCTGGTCTTGGGTCCAGGGTAGGTGGAGGATGGCAAGTTCCCAGCCAAGCTGTAACGCTGGACGTGGGGACTGCAGTGCTTATGGTGTCTGGTGGAGTGCTTGGAGTCCTCGGTGAGCACTAGGAGCATCAACTGACAGTGGCACCCGAAAATTTATGTCCCCCCTCCCTTCTTACCTTTACTGAGGGAGAAGGGGGGGGGGGCATTTCTCCCTCCACTGTTGT